AGAGAGGGGAAGGGAAGGGAATAGAAGAGAAGGGAAGAGAAGAGGAGAAGGGAATCGAAGAGGAGAGGAAAAGAGAAGGGAAGGGAATAGAAGACAAGGGGAGAGAAGAGAAGGGAAGAGGAGAGGAGAAAGGAAGGGAAGTAAAGAAAGGAAAGGGGAGGGGAAAGGAGAGGAGGAGAGGAGAGGAGAATACATAACAGAGGTACAAATGACAGACTCAAAGATTCATCACTTGAATCCTCAGGTCCATAATGATGAAGCTTCTTGGATGAGAAGCAAAATGTCATCTTCTTTTTCTTCCTCCAGGGGGGGAAAAAAACAGCCCAGTTACCTTTTTTGAAAAAGCACCTTGGTGGAAATTTACGTTTTTCTCCCCTATTGATGCATCAGGTCAGCTCCAGAGTTGCCATAGTCCAACACACACAAATCTCCTGAGTAATGCATTAGTTGACTGGAATGTTTAGAAATAAAACACAAACATTCACGAAGGAACTGCATCTACAGGCAGAGCAGAATAAGAAAGATCTCCGGATCCTGGCCAAGAGGACGCACGGATTCTTCCTGTGGTCAAAAGCCAGCAGCAGCATTGATGCGCTGAGCTATTTTGTGCTGTTTCATCTGCATGGCCAAAGAATGAAACTGACCGGTAGATTAGCTGTTTCTCCCTCCCCCCCCCCTCCCTTTCTGACATCCTGAGTGTTTCTGCTTCAGTGCTACAGAGCAACACCCCCCCCCCCCCAAGGAATATTAACTGACGGAAACGCTATTCACTGGCTCAGCTTCCTCTGCTCGGCCAGGTCCCGTCCTCAGCACTGAACCAGGGGAATCCTGCTGCCACTGAAGCCATGGGGATGTCTGCAGAGGACAGCGTTTCCACCCGTCCCAGAGGTAACCATTGACAAATGAAGGTTGGGGATTTTCTATATAGGGGCAGCAGCATGGGATATGTAACTCTCTCTACTGAGCAACAGCCCAATACGTAAGTCAGCTACTTATGTCGATCTGTCTCTTTCTTCCTTTGCCGTTTTCCACAGCAGTCACAGGCAAAGCAGGGATCTCCAGCCTTGGGCCCTTGAAGCCTGGCGGACTTCGACTCCCAGAATTCCCCAGGCTTCAAGGGCCCAAGGTTGGAGACCCCTGAGCCAAAGGATAATTTTACTCGCTACGGGGACGACGACGCAGGAACCCAATTCCCAAACTTTTGTGATTGGAGCCAGGACAAAACTGGAATCTGGTTTATACTGAAACAGAAAGTTCAAGCTACTTTAATGGGGGGCCTTCCCCAAATCCCCCTTCCGCTCTCACCTTTTTAAAAAAAACGTTGGTTTAGGGACAACTCAGATTTTTGCAAGCCTTGATCAGAGTGTGTCACGCCGAGGGATTGACACCAGGTCTTCTCATTTCATTCTGTTTGGGGACCAACTTGGCTGAGCGGTTTTGGGAGGCTGCGTTTTCGTTGCCTTCTGACTATAAGTGGGAATAGCTTCAATCCTGCAATCCCTTTCTTTTTTTCCCTCAAAGCCCCCTAAAAACCCAGCCCCCTCTGTGTAGCAAGGGAGGGATCGTTCATGTTTCAAGGCTGAGGAACCCAGAGCCGATGGTTCACCAGCTGCAGAGTTATGCGTTTCATTTCCTGTTTCCTTCCTGCATCCTTAGATGAAGCATTCCTGCCTGGTTTAAAAACACACACCGCCTGGAATTTTACATCCTTTCATTGTTGTTGTCTTAGTGGGAAAATGGCCAGAATTGGAAAAAGCAGAGAAGCTGGCAAGAGGGGCTGCCTTGAAGTGGGCATCAGGGGTGTTTTATCAACCAGACAAGCTGGATAGTCTTCCGCAGTACCAGATTCGGGAGATGCAGCGTAACAGGTTCATCGAATCCCGCATAAAGGTACGTAAGCATGGCAGGTAATTTCATTTACCTGATCTTGAAGGTCCTTGGTGCTCTCTGAGCTTGGTTGTTTTCTTGCAGACGTTTCATTACCCATCTAGGTAATACCATCAGTGCTAGAAGGGAGTGGGGTTTGCACTCTGTTCATATACAACCGGATTGCCCTGCCAGTGTTGGTGGAAGTATTCTGGATAGTTCCTTTATTGGGCTGTTGTTTACAGTCTGATTGTGTTTTTTTTTTGAGTTGGTAGTTCCTAGACTACCAGAATCTTGGACCAAGAGTATTGGAAGAAGGCATCAGGTCCAACCCTCTGCCCATTATAGGAAGCTAAATTAAAACACAGATGCATTATAACACACTACAAAATGGGCAGAGTTCAAGACACAACAGCACAATATTGCTTTTGACTGACCCCTCCCACACATGTCTCTATTAACCCATCCCCAACGGATGACTGTCCAGTCTCTGCTTGTACTCATCCAGAGAATGAAATTTCAGTCATTTTCCCCATCTTTCGTTGCTTCTACTCTCAAACTGTTTTTAACTATCGGGAAGTTTTCTTAACAGTCAACCCAAGCCTGCTGTCCTGTAACAAGAGTTTTATCCCATGTCTTCCCCTCCAGAATAAGTTTCAATCTTTTCCGGTGTGATTCCTAGAGTTATTTGACAAGCTCTGCAGGGAGTCCTCATTTAGTGACCATAATTCTGCAGGGGGTCCTTGTTTAGTCCTCATTTAGTGACCATACTTAGGGCAACTCGGTTGCTAAATAAAGGGGCTGCTAAAAGAAACCACAATTGACTTTATTTATGATCTTAATTTAACTCTTCCCTGGTTTGTGAAGGTTGCAAATGTGAGGATTAATCACAGGATTATTTTTAAATCACCAACTGCAAAGAGTTGATAAATGAGGCAATTGCTAAATAAGAACTGTCTGTATTGAGTTTGAATTTTATTGAGTTTTATTTTCTTTCAGGCTAAGAATAGCTTATTCCTTCAATCTTTCCAGTTGCAATTAATTTGTATTCCAATTAAATCATATTTGTTGCCTTTTTTGAAACAAACCTGTTCCAGTTTGTTTCTGGTTTGTTTGAATCCTAAAAGTACCCTTAACCTGTCATTTTATAGTAAGATGAGAATTTCTGTAATGTACAATTTTTCCAAAACTTTCTAATACTGGCAGGAACTGGGTGCTCACACAACAATCCCCCAAAACTCCTTATCCATTTAATTTTATTCTTGGAACCAAATTGTGAAACACATTTATTTGGTTACCTTCAGTGAGCTTACATATATCTTTGTCTTTAAAAAAAATACCAAGGCAGTTTATAAACATGGACTCTAAAATTAAACCACCCAGAGCCACACGATATGATGGATGTTACACAAAATTGACAAATAAATAAATAAATGAGAGAGGCAAAAGGGGAAAAAGCAGGAGGCTAAATGTAAATCTGACTTTTACATTGCCTATAAACTGTACAGGTAGTCCTTGACTTACGACTACAACTGATCCCAAAATTTACGTTGGTAAGCAAGACAGTTGATCAGTGAATTTTATTCCATTTTACAACCTTTCTTGTCACAATTGTTAAGTGAATCATTGCAGTTGGAGAGCAACTGTGATGATCCAGGGTGGGATATAAAAGCAACAAAGTCACAAAAATAGGTGAAGTCCCTTTAATTCCTTCAACTTGGCCTCCAAAGTCCAATTATCATTGACTGGGGAAAAAACTCCCCAATGAACAATTATGAAAAGGAAGAAATTTCGTTCAAACTCAAAATACATATAAATTATAAATAGAAAAAACAACACAAACCACACTGAAGCAATTAATGAGACAAGGCAGGATAAGGGCTTGAATACGTCCACAGATATCAAAATACACACACTGGGAAGGACGCCAGAACTCAGATAAGAACTGAAAGACTAGAATTATTTCACACTTTGCTTCCAGCACTGGGCCATGCGCAGTTTGTCCTTATAAACAGTCCTCCCAGCTGCAGCCCATGAAGGGGATCAGGGCCCTTTCCTCCCCCGTAGACCACACCATTCACATTTCTCCCTTATCCACTCCTCCTTGCGTGCAGTAGGATGAAGAGGGGATGGGCCTGGGTCTTTCTCTGAATGCCCAGTCAGACTGTGCCCTTCCCCAGTTTCCTCCACAACCTCCGGAGCCACACTCCCACTCCCTGTCGGCTGTTCCTCCTCTCCCTCGGAGTCAGATTCTAACAGGGGCATGACAGCAACACACACTTGAAAAGTGAATCTGGCTTTCCCATTAACTTCACTTGTCAGAAGGTCGGAAAAAGGGTTCACATGAGCTGGGACACTGCAACAGTCATAATTATGAACCCATTGCCAAGCGTCTGAATTTTGATCACGTGTCCACGGGGACACTGCAACGGTTGTGTGAACAATGGCCGTAACTCACCTTTTTCAGTGCTGTTGTAGCTTTGAACAGTCCCTAAATGAACTGTTGTAAGTCGAGGACTTACCCGTCATGACTTAACTTCTGGCTTTGCCTCCAGTCCACTGCTCAGTCCTACCTGGAAGGCATGAACACGGGCCTGGAGGAACTGCATTCTGCCCTCGCCGATGTCCAGCACATACAAGAAGAACTGGCGACCATTGAGAAGGATCTCACATCATGCATCGAGTCATTTCGGAGCTTACGGGAGCTACGAGAACTGGGCACGAAGCATGGCCAGCTGGAGGCAGTGGTCCAGATGTTGCCCCAGCTTTTCTCAGGTGACTTGGGCACTGCGGGACCCCACCGTCTGGCTGTGCCATTCCGAAACCCATTGCAAAATTTGATGGCCTTAACACAGAAGCATGAACACTCTGAATCTCTTTCTAGCCCCCCACGAAAACCTTAGATTTGATTCCTTGCACGTATAAGTTACTGAATCTCTCTATATAAAGGCGAAATGCCACTCGTGCATCATCACAAAATCTCCAGAACCGTAAAGCCTACTAACTTGAAATTTGGCACATATGTTCCTCTTGGCTTGTAGGTGCTCGCTAAGAAAGAATTTATCAAAATGACTATCAGTGTCAGGATTCCGGCAGTTACTCCAATTAAATCATGAGTTTTGAGCCAAACTTCCAAAACTTCAAAAGGATTTATTGGGAGTTAACATGTCCGGCACTGCCTGGATGTAGCCGACTCTGAGACATATAATTCATTGTCACCCTTGACCATGGTTTTTCCCCACCCCCTGGGTGTATCATAATTCATATTCTCCAATGGGACACATCCATAGCCAAGAGTCATCCATCATGTTCTCCAGTTAGACTTTTGCATGGCAGAAACTTCAGTCACCTAGTTACTATCTTTGAAAAACTATTTATGCAATGCACTTTCGATTTCCAAGCTGCCGCACTGCTCTTTCAAACCCCTTTCTGTTGTAATGACAAGGCAGTCGAGTTGTTTGATCATGAACAACTGAATCATGATGATCTTTATTGGAGTCTATTCTTTATACACATTTTTAGTTATCCTCCATCACTGGTTAACTTTGGTTACTGCTTAACTTTCATTACTGTTTAGCACAGTAATTAATTATCTCTAGTTAAAGTCTAACATATGTTTACTTCCTCTCTCTAATCCTCCTTTAGATTAGTGACTTTGTTTACCTGAGTTGCATTTGCTTGAAAACGTTCTTTATCTGAGGTTTGCCATCCGAGATTGGAACATTCCTGCAATTACAACTCTACACCTTTCCCCCCTCCCTTTCTGTTGACAACTCCAAAAAGACCATAGAAATATTTTGAGTTGACATTCAAAGCATTAGTTTTTCGTGTATTATTATTAACACCCTCTGATGCTAAGGACTTTTACTCCCCCTCCCCACCTGAAAAGAAATCTGTTCCAAATGCAAAACATGAGCAGAGGAGTTTCAGAGCACCAAGCAGCTTTAGTACAGAACAGTTGAGCTAAGCCATGCCCAGACTCCTTGCTGTCTCCATGCTCACACAGCAAATACTGCTTCAGTTTCCCTGTTTCAGTTTCCAAACAGCCCTCAACTCTCTCACACACTGACAGGACGCTAGCCAGATGAATACGGATGAATGCTGGTAGGCAGAAGCACAATTTTCCCCCTTATTTTCCTTCCCCAAAACTAAGTCTGATCACATTTTCATAGCAAAGCACAGGTATAGAACTAGTTATGTATATATTTGTCTCAGAAAGGGGGAAATGTTAAGAATATGGGAAAATAGTCTTACTAGCTGAACGTTATTATTGCTTCAGTTTCAATTAAATGTCAGCAACATGACATTTTATTCTTCTTTTGGCCCCAATGATCTTCTGGAGTGGGGATCTTGATTCGAAGACCAAATTTAGACTTCCATCCCCAAAATTTTGCATATGCTTTCTCCAAGCCAGGAATGGAGATTTCTATACTAGTTATATCAGGGTTGTTTTTACTCCAACACGGTTTCTGCTTTTTTTCCTTGTTCTTTATTATTTTCAATGCTCTCTTGAGCAATACAAATATAAATACAATTGTGAAAGAATAAGAATGAATTTTCAACTGGAGTCCAATGTGTTAAATGCTGTTTTTATATCAAGGTGTAAAAACAGGTGGAAACCTAACATGAAATTAAAAGGGCTATTTAATTGTGGAAAATAGGCTGATTTTTTAAAAATAATTTAGAAACAAAAAGAAATTTTAATTGCCCACCATGAAGGAAAAATAACACATTGTAAGAACTTTTACAGTCAGAAACTAGGGATGGTGCATTCAGTGGCCAAGCTAATGGGATGGCTAATTACTGTGTTTGTGACTTCTCTTTAACAGATATGGCTTATTGATTAATTTGGGTTTTTTTCCATTCCATTTTTCTTTTAAGACAGGGTGTCCAACTTTGGCAGCTCTAAGTGTCGTGCCCCTGTCAGAATCTGATTCAGAGGGGGAGGCCAAACAGCTGACAGGGAGTGGGAGTGTGGCTCTATTGGCTGTGGAAGAAACTGGGGAAGGGCAAAGTCTGGCTGGGCAGAGCAGGGGAGAGGTAGAGCAAGGGAGAGGGAGTTCAGAGGAAGACCCAGGCCCACCCCTTCTTCATCCTAGGGCACGCAGGGAGGAACAGAGAAGGGAGCAACCTGAGTTGCGTGGCTTACGGGGGGAGGAAAGGGCCCTGATTCCCTTCCTTAGCTACAGCTGGGAACACAGTGTTTAAAAAGGGAAGCTGCGCACAGCAAACTGTTGAGAGCAAACTGTGAATTTATCGCGAGGCTTATCTGTGTTCCTGGCATCTTCCCAACTTGTGTGTTTTGCTGTGCTTTCAAGTCTGCAATTCCTTCTCCTCCCCTGTCTAGTTAATTACTGCAGCATGGTTTGTTTGGATTTTTAGTTACAGTTTGTATGTACTTTGTTTTCGGACTGAATTTTCTCCACTTAAAGGCTGTTCTTGGGAGAGTTTTTCTCCAGCCGAAGATAACCTGGACACTGGGGGCAAAAATTGGAGATAATAAAGGGGTCTCTTTTTGCTTATTGAACTGTGTTGCCTTTATGCCATCATCACATTATATCATCACATTAAGACTACCTGGCTGGGGAATTTTGGGAGTTGAAGCCCATGGATCTTAATGTTGCCAAGGTTGGTCGCCCCTGTTCTAAGGGATTGAGGAAAGTGTGCATGTTTTTCCTCTGCTCAGTATACCAACCGCTGTTCGATGTTGTCTTTATTTCCTTTCCTTTTAGAGGTTTCCTTTTGGAAAGCTTAAACTTGATCCCGGCCTTTCCTTTGGTCTTCTCCCTGCAGTGCCTCAACTCATTTCGGAAGGCTTCTACCACTTACAAAGCCAGAACCTCCTGAAAGCCCATCTAGGGCTCATGGATCTGGAGAGCTTACGGGATAGCATCCTGTCCCAGTTGCATAACCGCAGCCTGCTCAGCCCCTCGAATCGGACCGACGTTGAGTCTTACTTTGGAGGCCTCCTGGAACTGAATGATGGCTTGGCACAGCATTTGTGGCGCACAGTTGCCCATGCCACAAAGGTGGTATTGGAGGACCCATCTCTTTTGGTGTCAGCCGTACGGATCATCGAGAGAGAGGAAACTATAGATGCCGCCGTGGCACTGAGGTCCCAACCTCATGGCTTCCTCCCACCGGGACGCCCAAAACGTTGGAGAAGGAAATTCTTCCAAGTTGTTCAAGACACTGTCATAGCTTCCTATTTCCAGGCTGAGCCAAACAAGACTCAAGGCCAGGGGCTTAGTAGCCACTTGGCATCCCTGCAGAGTAGCATCCTAGCAGAATTAGGCATCGTGAAAGATTGGCTGGTCCAGTGCTGCCCTCCTCATTACAACATCCTCACGGCCTTCGCCACCATGTTCCACCAAGGCCTAACCGATCACCTGCATCACATCCTTACGTGGGAGCTAGATAAACAAGAGATCTTCGCTCTCCTTCACTGGTCAATTCATGTCTACCCAAGGTGGGTGCCACTGCTAGTGGGTGCTGAAGGCCGGGAGGCATTTCCAAGCTTTTTAGGAAGAGATTCTGGAAGTGATATTGATGATTGTAGTATCCATATGAGCCGTGTGCAGAATCTGCCAAAAAAGCCAACACAATTCTAGGCTGCATAAACAGAGGGATAGAATCAAGATCACGTGAAGTGTTAATACCACTTTATAAGGCCTTGGTAAGGCCACACTTGGAATACTGCATCCAGTTTTGGTTGCCACGATGTAAAAAAAGATGTTGAGACTCTAGAAAAAGTGCAGAAAAGAGCAACAGAGATGATTAGGGGTCTGGAGGTTAAAACATACGAAGAAAGGTTGAAGGAACTGGGTATGTTTAGTCTAATGAAAAGAAGGACTAGGAGAGACATGATAGCAGTGTTCCAATATTTCAGGGGCTGCCCCAAAGAAGAAGGAGTCAAGCTATTCTCCAAAGCACCTGAAGGCAGGACAAGAAGCAATGGGTGGAAACTAATCAAGGAGAGAAGCAACTTAGAACTAAGGAGAAATTTCCTGACAGTTAGAACAATTAATCAGTGGGTGCATGTTAGAATTTTACTTGTGGTGTCTCCAATCCAGCCTGGCCTGTTGAAGAAGGCTGCTAAAAACTTTCTTCTGCATTTTTGTCCTGATTCCCCTCCCCCCTTTTTTAAAAAAATCAGTTCTGAAATGATGGCTCACGCAGATCTGCTTCCTGAAGTCGACATCTCAACCTTGGCTCCTCTGCTTCCAGCAGATACCATCAGGTCTCTGGAAGAGTCTTACCTGGGGAAAGTACAGGTGAGTTAGAAGACCAGGTTCAGGGTTTTGAAAATCCAATCATCTGTGGGCACAGAAGGAGATCTGGATGTCTTTAGCAGTGATTGAACTTGAGTCTGTGGGCTACTATGAGAAGGTAACTCAAGGTTTCAGGCGAATTCTTTTTCCCCACTACCTGAAATTGACTTGGAGATGCTGAGAGTACATTGTAAGACTCTTATTATCTACATCCAAAATGCTTCCAAGTACACATTATTGCCATTTATCCTAACATTACCATTGGAGAAGAGTTCAAATCCTCTTCAGGAACCCTTTTGGGGGGTGGGCAGGGGGGAGGGGGAGGCCTTGTTTTAAAGAGAAAAGCAGGAAATATATTTAATAATATTGAGAACTGACACAACCACAACAACACGTATCTCAGAAGGCATTATACTATGGGCAAATTTCCAGCAAGACATGACAAGGATAAACCAATGAATGTCAGTTTCTCATCTTCTATATATATATATATTTGTTTTCTTTATATTTATATATATATATAAATAAAAGCAAAAATAGCACTCGCACATCATCACAAAATCTCCAGAACTGTAAAGCCTACAAACTTGAAATTGGGCACATATGTTCCTCTTGGCTTCTAGGTGCTCACTAAGAAAGGATTTTTCAAAATGACCATCAGAGCATTAGTATTTCGTATATTATTATTATTAACACGCTCTGATGCTAAGGAGTTCTACTCCCCCTCCCCACCTGAAAAGAAATCTCTTCCAAATGCAAAACTCAAGCAGAGGAGAGGAGTTTCCATTTTAGTTTCACAGCAGCAACTAGCTTTAGTACAGAACAGTTGAGCTAACCCACGCCCAGGCTCCTTGCTGTCTCCTTCTTGCTCACATCAACAAATCCTGTTTCAGTTTCTAAAGAGCCCTCAACTCTCTTGCACACTGGCAGGACGCTAGCCAGATGAATACCAATGGATGCTGGTAGGCAGAGGTAGAAATTTTTTGGCCTTATTTTTCTCCCCCAAAACTAAGCCCAACCACATAGTTTTGTAGCGAAGCATGAGCATCGAGCTAGTTTTGAATAAAAAAGGAGAAAAAAGCGGTCAATTAAATTTAACATTTCACATGTAGTATCCACCCTGGCTGGCTGCAGGGAGAAGAAATTCACGGAATATTCACTTCCCGCTCCCTCCCACCCCACCCTGGTCAAGGAATGCTGTCAGGACAATTTCGTGCCACTCCTTTTCTAATCCTGGAGCGAAGTAGCTAGAGAGACCTGCTCTGTAGCTATCAAACCAGCCGTTCGCTGCCTAGCAGAACAGAGATATGTGCCGCTAGTTCAAAGCACCATCCTGGGCGGAGTCCCTCCCACTTCAGGAATCTTGATTCACACTCTGACTTGAATAAAGGTTGATCTAATGGTGGAACACCAGCAGCCTCCTTGGGGCTCTGGGGCCACAGGGAGATGGGCTGAGTCTTGCAGCCATTTTACTGCAACAGACAGAACTGCAAACAGGAGGTGGAAAGGTTGCAGCCAAGCCAAACCACCGCGCTGTTTATGCTCAATTGCTTTGAGTGGGCTCAAGCAGACTGTTGTGGTTAGCCGGCAGCAGGTGTGGATGGCTGAGGAGAGTGAGGACTCAGATGAGGGGCCAGGACCATTAGGGAGTAGACTGCTGCCTTCAGAGATTATGGGGGCTGGCAGCAGCGATGAGGAGGTTCCCGAGGAGCCTGTGCCAAGGGCGCATGCACACAGGGTTGCTCGCAGGAAAGAGCAGCTGCAGCAGCATGGGCGACTCAGGAGTAAGGCTGCAAAGTAATGGCCCCTCCTTCAAGAAGATAAAAGCCAGCTGGGAATCGGACGGTCTTTGCAGGAAGCAAAGACGTATTGAAACTCGAGCCTCATGGACATTGCAGTGTCTTAGTTGGTATCTGAAGACCCTTGTGTTGTAAAATATTTCCAGGTGATCTTATCTGTTATTCTTGGCAGACTCGCACAGTTTTGGTGAGGCTCATGCTTATCAGCAGCCTTTTAACTGGGGATTCGTAAGAATCATTAAAAGGTTTCTGTTCCCTTTGATTCGTGTTTGTTTTATTGGAAAAGGGTTTGGGGTCAGAACACAGACCAAATGAGACACCTGAATCACAACAGGTGGGAACTAGTAAAAGATCTGGACTTTGAGTTCATTCCAAAGGCTCAGGATCACTTGATCCCCATTTTGTTTCCTTCCTTTAGGCTAGCATCGCAGAATGGATGCAAAAGGCTCTAGAAATGGAGTTTGAGGAATGGCTTTGGGGCAAAGAACCCGAATCCGACTATCAAGGCTTCTTCCAGAGCAACCTGCCTATCATTGCCATGAAGGTTAGGAGGAGGAATTGGGGAGGCAAGGAGAGAAGAGTTAGCTAACTGAACAAAGAAGATATTTCTAATTGTAGAAGCCAAATCATGAGTTTGATTTCCCCATCTGTTTTTTTTCCCCCTCTTTCCCATTAAATATCTCAGATGCTCGATGAAAACATTAGACTGGTATCACTCATCTCTGGTATTCTCCAGCAGAAAGTTCTTGAAATGGCTTTGGGAGAGTTGGAGGCGTTTTTGGGCAGGTCAGTTTCATCTTGTATGCCAATTAATTCCAAAAAACAGGATGGCCTATATAACCTCAACACCTCAGTAACAGAGAAGAATCTTTGGGTCCAATCTGTAGTCACAGATTGATTCTGAGCTGAATCAAGCTGAAAGTTCATTTCTGAAAGTACTTGGTTCGTAATTGGATCCATCTTGGTCCTGTCCACCATTAAGTCAGCCTATTGGTGGTTATACATCAGTGTGGGAAAAGGGATTGGCTTGCAAGCTGGAAATATGAGCCAGCAGTGTGCAGCAGCAGCAGCCAAAACAAGCCACTGCAATCCTAAATTGCATTAACAAAGGGATACAATCAAGATCAAGTGACTAATACCACTCTATAAAGCCTTAATAAGACCCCACCTAGAATTCTGCATCCACTTTTGGTCACCACATTATAAAAAAGATGTTGAGGCTCTAGAAAGAGTGCAGAGAAGAGCAACCAGGATGATGAGGGGACTGGAGGCTAAAACATACAATGAACTGGGCTTGGCTGGTCTAGCGAAGAGAAGGACCAGGGGAGACAGGATAAGAGTCTTCCAATATTTGAGGGGCTACCACAGAGAGGAGGAAGGGGTCAACCTATTTTCCAAGGCACCTGAAGACCAGACAAGGAACAATGGATGGAAACTGAACAGGGAGAGATTCAACCTGGAAATAAGGAGAAATTTTCTGACAGTAAGAACGATCAACCCATGGAACAGAAGTTGCCTTCGGAAGTTGTGGGAGCTTCATCACTGGAGGCTTTCAAGAAGAGATTGGACAGCCATTTGTCAGAAATAGTGTAGGGTCTTCTGTTTGGGCAGGGGGTTGGACTAGATGACTTACAAGGTCCCTTCCAACTCTGGTAATCTGTAAGTATGGTGACTACATGGATCTTTCCATTCCGCTATGATTTCACCAAAGGCTTCTGGGTAAACAAGGCCTGACATAATAAGTGTGTCTTTCCTTTCTGCAGCCTGTATGAGAAACTGGTGGAATTTTTTAAAGCACATCAGCAAGAGCCCATGGCATCTAAGTACTACACAGCGAGATTGTTGTCCACTGTCAACAATTGCTTGGCTCTCAGGTATTCCCGAAGGCTGTTTTCTCTCCCTCTCTCTCTCTCTCTCTCTCTCTCTCTCTCTCTCTCTCTCTCTCTCTCTCTCTCCCCCTCTCTCCAGGCCAGATGTTTTCTTCATCTTCTTAGCCATCAGCCTTCTTAATTATTTCTCTTCTCTTTCCTGGCAGCTCCTCCATCTCAGCCTTGTGTGCTAACGGGTTGGCTCCTGAGGAGCCTGTCAGGATGCTACCATCTCTACACACGGCCTTAGAGAAAACTCAGAAGAAGGCATGCCAACTTCTATTGGAGGAGATGCTGGCTGACTTGAAGGTACCCCTCATTCAGCACCACACACAGCAGTGGGTTTGGTTCTGGTTTTAGGGTGCATGGAGAACCAAACTAATAGTGGTTATTCAATATGCCATGATCAAACGATTCCTGGCTTAGCCTGCAACCTGAACCAAGTTACTGATTGCAACACATTCTGGGACAACCTTTGGAAAACAGACTCCAGCTGTCTTGTGCAAATACGCACACACACACACACACACACTTCAAAAGGTGAGAGCTATATAGCACATCAGGCTGAAACAAACCAATGGTCAAAAGCTGTATTTCGCTGGATGTTGATATAAATAGTTCATCCAGTAATTCCCATGCATATTATAATGCAGGGGTCCACAAACTTGGCAACTTTAAGACTGGTGGACTTCAACTCTCAGAATTCCTTCGCCAGCTTTGCTGGATGGAGAATTCTGGGAGTTGAAGTCCAGAAATCTTAAACTTGCCAAGTTTGGAGACCTCTGTTATAATGTAAAGACAATGCTTGACTCTTGGGAGCGATGCTCACCTCTGTTTCTTAGCAGAGGGAGCCAAGTGTTGTCTGAAGACAGTTGTTGCCTTCCCAACAAAATGGTACCTATTTTTCTACTCGCATTAACGCATTTGCATGTTTTTGAACTGCTAGGTGGGCAGGAGCTGGGGCAAATAACGGGAGCTCACCCTGTCACAGGACACTTGGGTCTCAAACCTCTGGCTGCCAGCTTTCTAGCTGAGAAGCTCAACTTTTTTTTTTAACCTCTGAGCCCTATTATAAGAGAGATCAAAGCAAACCAATTGGTTGGGGTTTTTTTTCAGCCTCTACGTCTGTCTGTAGTGGTTGCTCTTTCCGTGTCTACTTGTATAGCCTTGCATCTCATACTGATAGCATTATTCTCAAATACAGGTAGTCCTCGACTTACAACAGTTTTTTTTAGTGACCATTCAAAGTTACAGTGGCCCTGAAAAAAGTGACTTATGACCATTTTTCACAGTTACGACCTTTCTGGCAGCCCCATGCTCAAGTGGGCAGAATTCCAATTGCTTGGCAGTTGGTTCACACTTATGACCGTTGCTGTGTTCCAAGGTAACCTGATCCCCTTTTGCAACCTTTTGACAAGCAAATCAAGGGGAAAGCCAGATTCACTTAACAACCAAGTTACTAACTTATCAACTGCAGTGATTCGCTTAGTAACGGTGGCAAGAAAGGTCATAAAGTGGGGCAAAACTCACTTAACAAATGTCTCCCCTAACAACAGACATTTGGGGCTCAGTTGCCGTCATAAATCGAGAACTCCCTGTAGATTAACTTTTATTTAACAGCTGCTAGCATTTTCTCTCTTTTTGCTCCTTGGAATGCTGTTCTGAGCTCCTCTCAATAAGAGGAGAAGAAAAAAAAGACATGGTTTCTCTTGCGGTCTGTTCCAGCCACTCTTTGCCCAGTTCCCCTCTCGCCAGTGGCTGCTGGATGACTGTCAGCTGATGAACAACATCTGCGAGGTGATTGACAAGCATGTGGAAGGTTTCGGCAGAACTCACAAACCTGTCAGCATGGTAAGATCCTGGCCACTGCTGGGGACATTGATGGTGGGGTTGGGAAAGATCTATCCATTCAGAGTTGGTCTTCAGCCAGTTCTGACCAGTTCTGGAGAACTGGTAGCAGAAATTTTGAGTCGTTTGAAGAACCGGCCAATCCCACCTCTGACTGGCCCCACCAATCCCATCTCTTCTCTGCCTCCTGAGTCCCAGCTGATCGGCTGGGGTCTTCTTTGGTTGCCCTGCACAGGAGAACAGAGCTGGAAAGCAGGTTAGTGGGGTGAGGAGAAAATGGAGATTTTGCAGTATCCTTCCCTTGCCACGCCCACCAAGCCACGCCCACAGAACCGGTAGTAAAAAAAAAAAAATTTGAATCCCACCACTGTATCCACTAAAAGTCCAGGGTGAGCATCATCCTGCGATTATCACAAGCCTAATGGTAGATCAGTCTGTTAGCAAAACAAGAGACAATTAGCAATAGCACTTAGACTTATATACCGCTTCACAGTGCTTTACAGCCCTCTCCAAGTGGTTTACAGAGTCAGTCTCTTGCCCCCAACAATCTAGGTCCTCATTTTACCCGTCTTGGAAGGATGGAAGGATGAGTCCACCTTGAGCCTGGCAGGATTTGAACTGCCAAATTGCAGGCAGCCAATAGTCAGCAGAAGTAGCCTGCAGTACTGCCCTCTAACCACTGCGCCACCGAAGCTCTGAATGAAGGAGATTCTAAACATTATGTGCAAATGAGACAAAGAGGAACAAAGATATTACAGGATGCGGTCTTTAATTGTTTCAACTTCAAGTGGATAGCCTTTTTCTATACAAAATTGCAAAGATAATCTATAAGATACCATATGACAGATGGGATAAAAGCAGTGAGGAACAGGGGGGAGGGAGCTGGAAATCCCCCTTTTTTCATCATTCCCTCCCTCTTTTAGATATTTTTTTTCCTTTTGCCCTTTATATTGTACATCCCCTTCTCTCTCACCCAAGCTCTACAGAAAAGAGAAATCGTTGATGACGTGCAGAGGGACAGCTAAAATTCAGTCAAACATTACACCTCATCTTAGCGTTGTAGGTGCCCATTTTGTCCTATCTGGAAATGCCAAGAGTGAAACCAGAATCTTTTTTACACAAATCGTTACCCTAAAGCAGCGTTTCCTAAGTTTCAGCTCAGAACAATCCAGGTTAGTTAGCGAGGGCACATACTCACAAACTGGATTTCGGCCGTATCCAGAAACACCGTGCCTCTTTCCCCCCCCCCCCTTTCTCCTATAACGCCCACTCACAGTACCTGCTGTCAGAAGCTGAGCACCTGGTCATGAGCCAATATGTGAAGTCCCTTTTGCAGAAACGGATGACGTGTCAAACAGCCGAAGAGAGGAGCAAGATGTCTGCAAGAATGCTGCAGGATACCTCTCAGTTAAGGGAACTCTTCTGTGCCCTGGTGAGAAGAAAAAAGGGGGGGGGGAAACCACCACAACTTCCCAGCCAAGGTAGAAATGCTGCAAAAGAGAAGGTGGGAATTTCTGGGGAGTGACAGGCTAATTTGGCCAAACAAGGGTAAGGGGAAATGACGATTACAACCCAAGAGGCAATAAGGCAGAAGGATTTTCATGGTTCATGCCATTTTAAAAATAGACTAAAACTCAACACTGCAATCTCATAGCTACAAAACAGAAGTGGTGGAGGGGAGAATTGCAAAATAATAGTAATAATAATAATAATAACTAGATTTGTAGCCACTGCAATCAAAGAAGACTGGCAGCAATTGGCATAGACCAAATAAACCACAATAAAGTACCCATCCTAAAAAAAAAAAAAAAACCCAACAGTCAACTGGAAGTAACATTTGTGATTCCAAATGTTTTCTGATCGTTGATTGGGTGATTAAATAAACTTAAATAAATATGTGCACTTTTATTTCTGATTGACTGTCCCAAAGGTGTTTTTTCAAGAGGCAATGGGACTTTCTGTTTTTTTCTTGGAAGATGTTTCACTTCTAATCCAAGAAGCTTCTATAGCTCTTCTTCTTCAGAGCCAACCTTTTGGACCTCAGGGACCACCAAACTCATACTTTTAAATCCCACAGACCAGAGACACTGAGAAAATCCCCCCAAAAGTCTGCAGGAAAATTCCCCACCCCGTTTTCCTACCGATCGATCATTCTTTATTTGGGATCACAGGATACCGTCTCCAGCTCCATTCTCACAGGGAGAGAGAGAGAGACTTTTGGCTTCATGCAAGGAAAGCAGCAGAAGCAGCAGAAGTCTTTCTTTCTCTCCCCCAAACTCCACCAGAAATGAGTCTTTGTGAGACTTGTTGTGCCAGTGCAGCCTCTTGGAGCAGGAGGCCTTGCAGGGTCCCAAAGACTCATTTCTGGCAGAGTTTGGGAGAGAGAAAGAAAGACTTTTGCTGCTTTCCTTGCGTGCTGCCAAAAGCAGAAGAAAGAAATGGAAAGAAGCAGCCCAGCGGCCAGCCCAGGTGCATGAAGTGAGTGGGGCAAGTTCCCCCCCTCTGCCCTTTCCCCCCTCCCCTCACTACCTGGTGTTCGCAATACAAGTCTTGTGTTCCTGCACAGCCTGGATTAATTGCTTTGGGGGGTGCTTTGGGGTGACATTTCTCTGTGGACCGCCAAAATTTTCTTGTGGACCACCAGTGATCCCCAGCCCACTAGTTGGTGACCACTGACCTGGAGGACTAAGACTCTCCATAGATATTCTAGTTGACTGTTTATATAGCATGGAAACCTCGTTGTAGTTTCCTTTGGTCTATGCCTACTGTTGCCAGTCTTCCTTGATTGCTTTTGTACAATTCTCCCCTACATCCCTTTCAATCTTCTGTTTTGCGGGTATGAGATTGCAGCTGAGTTGAGTTTTACTCTATTTTAAAAGGAAGTGACTGTATTGGTTGTGAGCTACCTGGTCTCCTTTTCTTCCCAGGGCTTGGAGGAGGACAAACTTTCCCTCCAAGTCATTGCAGATCTGCAGCAAATCATCAGTATCAAGGACCCTTCTATGCTTGGCCTGGAAGTGCTGGGATTCATGTCAAAATATCCTGATATCAGGTAGGACACCCAAGTGGTGAAGAAAAGGAGAATTTTCCATCTTCTGATTGCAACATCCTCTGGCATCTAATCTTTGGGACTGAATGAGAAACTCAGAAACTGCTATAGTCTTCTTTTGACACCAGGTGCTCAGAATATGAATATCGGACCATAGGAATAACTAGGAATCAGTACTTGATTGTTTTATTTATTGTGAAGCATTTCTATTCTTTACATTTGCTTTAAGTGTCATATACAGTGTTATTAGTAACAAGAAGTCATTAGAAAAGGCAGCTTACAAATGTGGATAGATATGTACAATATCTGTGGAATTCTTGGTACACTCAGAGCTCGGTTGTTTTCTTGCAGACTTGATTTCTGTTTAAATACGGGTGAATGTTCCCACCAACATGGACAGAGCAAGCCATTGTACATAAATAGCAAGCACTCTTCTCGCACTGAAGATGTTACCTAGTTGGGTAATGAACCGTCTTGGAGAAAACAACCAAGCTCCAACAGCACCAAGGACTCCACAGTTCAACCTTCAGCTATAAACATTCTGTTTTGTAATATTTTTCTGTCCTGCTACTGCTCCATCCCCAATCAGAAAGGGAGAACATTTTCCAAGAGTTTTCCATTCAAGAGACTGAATGCACGCTGCATTATTAGGATCAGTATATTCATTGCGGTATATTCTAGGGGAAAGCCTGGGGTTGAAGAAGATTGCAGCAGAGAAAACTGATAACAAATAAACTATCCTGCAGAGGAACTCCTTCATTCATCGATCTGCAGGCTTTCTCGCAGAGTTGACAGAAGAATAAACCAAAGAAAAAGCCACCTCCTCGTGTGGTCATTTGTGTGTGAGTCTGTGTGTGTGTGTAATCTCTTATATACATCTCTGAGAGACTTCTCCCTCAGTGCTGCTTATTCAGATTCATATTTGTAGGGGCCTTGTAGGTCATCTAGTCCAATCCTCTGCCCAAGCAGTAGACCCTACACCCTTTCTGACAGATAGCAGCCTGCTCTCTTCTTGAAAGCCTCCAGTGATGGAGCTCCCACAACTTCCGAAGGCAACTTTTGTTCCATTGATTGATTGGAAGAGCTTGCCGTACAAGGTTCCATGATAATAAGTTGGTTTTGAAGTCTTTTCTCGCGTCCGCTGTAAAATCGTGTAACACGCTTATCTTCCATCTTGTTTCTCCAGCGAGGACCACATTTCCATGTTCTTCTACTTGCGGGGCGACATCTCCAAAGAAATCTGCAATCACGTGCTGGGGATCATGGCACAGAATCCGCAAGTCCTACCGGAGAATTACGATCCCGTTTTCAGCAATATCTTGGTTCCTGCTCCAGAGCTGCCCTTCTGCCTTGGCAAGTCCAAATGTGCCTGAGATCCCCCTAACTGTAGCTGCTACTCCTGCCGCCAACTGTCTTGCCAGCCTGTCTGAATCTGCCAGTCTGCAGGCAAGGTGGAAAAACCTTACCTACGATACCAACAAGCACTGCGCCATTTTGTGTGGCCAGAGGCAAGTTTGCCGATACAGGTTGTACTCGACTTACGATCAGAGGTGGTATTCAGCCGGTTCTGACCAGTTCTGGAGAACCGGTAATAGAAATATTGAGTAGTTTGGAGAACCGGCAAATCCCACCTCTGACTGGCCCCGCCCCCATCTAGTCTCTGCCTCCCAATGAGTCCCAGCTGATCGGCTGGGTCTTCTTTGGTTGCCCTGCACAGGAGAACGGAGCTGGAAAGCAGGTTAAGTGGGGTGGGGAGGGAAGGGGGATTTTGCAGTATCCTTCCCCTGCCACGCCCACCAAGCCACACCCATCAAGCCACGCCCACAGAACCAGTAGTAAAAAAAATTTGAATCCCACCACTGCTTATGATCATAGTGGAGCCCAAACTTTCTACAGCTAAGGGCAGGGGTGGGATTCTATCGGTTCGGATCAGTTCAGGTAAACCAGATGTTAAAGTTACATCCGGTTCACCGAACTGGTATTTCAATCAACTGGCTCTCCCTGCCTACCCCGCCCCTCCCGGGAGTCTCCACATGGCCCATTTTTGATGCAGGTAAGTACAGGGTCCGTGCGAAGGTTCTGGGAGGGGAAAAACCAGGCCTTCCGGAAGTCCGGAAATGGGCCTGTTTCTGGCTTCCGGAGGGCCTCCAGAGCCCGGGTGAGGCGGTTTTCATCCTCCCAGAGGCCCAGGGGAGGCCTACGGACCCCCGGGAGGGTGAAAACAGCCTCCCCGGGCCCCTGAGGCCCACCGGAAGCCGGAAACAGGAAGTTCCAGTAGGCCACGTCCATCATGGCCACACCCACCCAGCAACCAGGCAGCGAACCGGTGGCTGCGATTTTTGAATCCCACCCTTCGCTAAGGGAAACATTCCGCGAAGTGGATTTTGGACGAACTTTCTTGCCACGGTTGTTTAAGTGGATCGCTGCCGTTGTGAAGTTAGGGGCACTGTTGTGAAGCGTATCTGGCTTCCTCCATTGACTGTGTTTGTCGGAAGGTCGCCAACGGGGGGAATCACGTGACTCCCCGAAACTGTCACCGTCGTAAATATGAGTCAGTTGCCAAGCGTCCGAATTTTGATCGCGTCGTAAGTTGCTGCCATGGTCAGAACACCAGTTACCTTTTTTTTCAGTGCCGTTGTAACTTTGAACAGTCATTAAATGAAAACTTGTAAGTCAAGAACTACCTGTATTTTAAACCAGGCGAGTCTCTTTGCTCCTTCTGCTTTTTCTTTCGTTGGCCTATCCAACAAGTGGCCAAGGGTGGGCTCTGCTGGCTGGAGAATTCTGGGAGTTGAAGTCCACAAGTCTAAAGTTGCCAAGCTTGGAAACCTCTGGGATAGACGATACTAGTTTCCCACCCACCCCCAACAAAGGCTACTGCTTGTGAAGAGAAGATCACAGTCCCACCACAACCATTCCGAAGTCTTGACACCCAGCTGCAGCCCTCAAGGCTTTTCCCTTGGGATCTGCGGGCGTAAGGAAAGGAAGGATAAAGACTGATTAAAGAAATCACAGATGTGAGATTACGGAAAGTTCCTCCATGCAGCAAAGAAAGAAAAACAATAATAGAAATAAGCACAGAGGCTGAGATAAGTGGGGTGGGGAGGGAATGGAGATTTTGCAGTAACCTTTCCTTAGGAGTGGGGTGGGAATGGAGATTTTGCAGGATCCTTCCTCTGCCACACTCACCAAGCCACACCACACCCACCAAGCCACGCCCACAGAACCGGTAGTAAAAAAGTTTGAATACCACCACTGAAACAAGGGATATAATGCCCTACTGCTCATGTTCCCCATCAACTGTTATCAAGGGCTATGTTTACTCTTGTACCAGAAATAATGTATGGCGATCCTAGCTACTAGCCATAGAAAGCCTTAACTTAACACCAGCAACTGCAATCCATGAATCTGATAACAGGCAGCAAAAGAAGAGTCTAACTTGATTTTTGCACAGATATTTTTTTTCAGACAAATAGTAACTGAATTGTTTTCCACTCTGTTTCCAGTCGCAGGAGCCCATTGGTTTTTCTGGGACAAAGTCATATTTGCGATATACCATGTAGTGTGGGAAATAACTTGGGACACTTATTAATGGTCAGCAGCAACCCCACTGTTAGTCACTAGCTGCTTTTTATGTCCATTCTTTCTAATTGTTCAGGGTGATGCAGAATTAAATATATCGTAGAATAGAAAATACACCCCTCATAAATAAAATACTGAGCATCAATTGTCTTGAGAAGCAGGAAGAAAGCAAGCAACAGTTGGAACTGGGTTCGGGTGTTTTAATTAACTGTTTTAAAGATTTAGTGAAATGAAATTTGGTTCCAGAGATTACTGACATTCAGAGTCAATACTCTCTATTAACCGTTACTGTTCCCCAAAACACCAACAAGAAAAACAGATTCTTGCTATACACTATTTGAAATCACAACAGGAAGTGATGCATTGCCAAAGTAAAGTAGGTTGACCGCAAAACATGCATTTTCAGGAAGTGTCTTATCAGACCCTTATCAGACCCTTATCAAATCCTTTTCTCATGGTAACATTCCCACTCAAGAGGAACTCAACAAATGCGTGGAAATGCTTCACCTCACATTGATCTGATCAACATTAAAATATAGTTTTGAGTCACTGAAGAAATTCATACATTGCACTAAACTATAATTTGGTTTGGGATTGGTATAGCAACCCTTGTGACTTAATAAGTAGCATGATTCAGCTAATTGTGGCAAAATAACCCATGACTTAGCAGAAAGGGCAAACCACGTTTCTCCTTCATCTTCAGTGTTTTCCTTAAAAATACCTTTTGTTCTGAGTAAGCCAGAAATTAATTCAAGCTTAATTAAGCATATAAGTCAGGATCATGAACTAGAGTTTAATGTGTGTGGGTTTTTTTTAAATTCCAATAAAGTCTAGCTACAGTTGGTTTAGACCTGGATACAGTAAGCCATAAGAAGCAAACATTACTAATTCCTTCTGTAGGATTGGTCTGAAGGGAGGAGTAAAGCAATATAACTACTTGGGGAAAACAAATGAAGTAATAAACAAGTCACACAGGAGAAAATAAAACTTCCCCAAATTGCCATCGTGGAATTGTCAATATTCCGAACTAAAATAGTTCTCTGAACACATTTGCTCTCACCTCAGTTTCTCTATATCCTCTAAAATCTTTTATCTAACATCTTCCCTTGTAGTTCTTTCTAGATGCAACAATTGCATTCAATTCAGAAAATAAAGAGTTTGCTAATCCAGTTTTGCTCCCAGTTCTTCCTGAACTACAACGTCTGCATGGAAACAGTATTGGCCTTGGTTAATTTTTCCTCCGTGTCGTTGCGCAGTTTTTCAAACAGTTTTGCAAAATTAGTCTCGCGTAGCCCTCCACGGAAACTCCGCGCAGCAAAAGCATAGAGGATAGGGTTGATGCAGCTGCTTACAAAGGCCACCGCCCCATGAAGGTTGGTTAAAGTTTTAATGGACTCAAGTAACTTCTGGCTGACCTCGGGCTTGGCATGCCTCAGCAACAATGCAGAGATGGTGATGAGGTTTAAGATGTGATAAGGAAGCCAGCAAACAAAGAAGGCTCCAACAACTGCAGCAATCAATTTCCCGGTTTTCATTTCCTTGTGGTTTTTCAGAGTCCGAATCTTTCTCGCCACGTATGTGTAGCAGACTGCCAACACAGCAAAAGGGATCGCAAAGGCAAACAGTGTCTCCACTATGTTAACCGCGAGGCGCTGGTTCTCCGAGTCGTAAAATTCATCTGTGCACTTCCCTTTGGGCATCTCTCTGGATGAGAATATCAAACACGGGCAGGAGAGAAGCCCGGCTGGCAACCAAACAGCTAGCATGATCCCATACACCTCCCTTGGCTTCCTCCATCTTTGGGAAGCAAGTGGAAGGACCACCACCGCAAAGCGGTGGAGGCTCATTAATGTGATGGAGAAGATGCTGGTGTAGACGGTCAAATACACAAGGTACATGAGGAACCGGCACATGAAGTCCCCAAAAACCCAGCCTTTGACGAAATAGTAAGTCCAGAAAGGCACCGTCAGTATTACCAGTAAGTCAGCCACAGCTAAGTTCAGGATGAGGGCAATGGTGAAGGAGCGCTGGGGGAATTTAGAAAGGATAGTCCAGATCACGAGACCATTGCCAGGAGCCCCAATCAAGAAGCACATAGTGAGGAACACAGTTGGAATGACTTTGTCCTCCACAGCTGCCATAGTCTGGTTGGTCGGTGTCCCTGTGACATAAAGGAAGGTCATCGTGTGTCCATATAGTCTTGTCTAAAGGCAAAACAGCTCCAGGACGAATGCACAGGATCACCACGGAGTCAATATGCTCCCCAAGAAGAAGAAGAAGAAGATCTCTTTGACAAGGGCCAGTTTCTTTTAAAAAGAGGGTTTGGGGTTTTGTTTTTTTTTAAACTCAGCCTGGGATATCCTGATTGGTTCTGCAACAGAGGTACATGAGAAATAGAGAGGACTTTCTCCAGTCCACTTCCTTTCTGAGGATTCTTGCCTATGGCCCAATTCCTACAAGGTTGAGTAAGATGTTTTGATGTCAGCAGTGACACTGCCAGGAAAGCAGGTCTGCAGAATGGAGCTACATCACAGGCAACAATGCACGGTCTTCCCAGAAAGGGCCCCAGTTCGAGTCTCTGGACTTCCTGGAGAAAGGGTGTTAGGAGATGTTAAGGAGACCACCTGGAAAGGCTTTAGCAATGGTTGGGTGGAAAAGAAGGCAGTGGTGATTGGGCTAAGTCTGAAAACTCTACAAATGGCCAACAAGGAGCTTTTGGCTTTGCTGTTCAGCTTGAAAGGAAAAAAAAACCGTTATGGGAAACAGGTGTAGTTTGCACACTCTGGGGCACTGTTGGTGAAACGTTCTTGAAAAGACACCTGCCCGATGCAACCAAGGCTAAATTTAATCTGCTCCTCTTATCATCAATCCAAGGATGTGGGGAGTGGAAGTCAGCCACACCTGGCAAAGCGCCACGGGTCATAGAAATAAAAACCTAGCAGCACCCGGGACCTAAACCTCCAGGGAGTAGCAACCAAAATGACTTTTCTGTGGGCGTCTCTCACTTACCTAGTGCTCCTTGATGTTGCCTGTGGTGAGTAAAGCATGGGTTGCCTTTCTAGGTTGGTTGGTTGCTTCCTATGCTTTCATCACGGCTGATGGATCATGCATGAGGGGGAGGGTATGCTTAAGTTCATTGCTTGCAACATGTTACACACAAGCGCACAACGCACGTTGCCTAATTCACAGGCCTGCTTGCTTGAAGGTCCTCTCTTGCAAAAGAAAAAAGAAAGAAAAAAGAACAGGCTGGGAAAGGAAGAATGCTTCCAGCTACAACTCTGTGGGGTTTCGGTACCCTTCTTCAAAGTGGAACTGTGAATGATGCCCAGGAGGCATGCAAGTAGTTTTCTGGCAGTTCAAACAGCTTGCCATCACCTTCTTTGGGTTGCTTTTCCCAATGCCAGCAGTGCCTTTTTTAAAAAAATCACTCTGTTATACAATGTCAGGTGCAGACAAAGGAGGACACGATTAACCGTATAGGGAGCAACGTTGAGGACAGTTTGTTTAGACTGAAATGGACATTCACGCAGAGTTAAATCAAGTTTACTTTGGCCCTACTTCGTCCTGCAAATTTTCAGAATGGGGGCCCTGCCTCACGTATTACTCAAGGGCCAACTGTGGCTTTCTCAACTTGAAAAATGAAAAGGCCCCTATTCTGTAGCCTAATGTGTAACAAGCAACCAGTGGCGTGTAGCTTCTGGTTTCTCTGAGCTTGTCAAAGCGAATGAACAAATCTGAACAATCCTCCACAACCTTGGAGGATCCTCACAGGAGGCTACTCAGTCCAGATCTGAGATACTTATCAGATTGACCCTCTCTTTGCCTTTCCATATGCGATGGGATCCCAGCCATTAAGCCCAATGTGAAAAATACAGAGAGAATTATCAACGGGATGGATGCCAGTCGTGGTTCTTGGCCCTGGCAAGTCTCACTACAGGTGAGTACATCGCTAGTAGATCAATAGTATGGAGGACAAGCACTATGTAAGGACATCTCCTGCGATCACTGGTAGGTCAGTAGTGTGGGGGAGAAGTACTATTCTTCTTATATCCAAGATGCTGAACTGCACTTTAGGCACAGCAGGCACGCTGGAGCTGCCTGAGGACCCTGGAATGGAAGAAGATAGAGGATGAACACCGAGTTGTTGTCGGGTTGAATTGAGTCAATATGTGGGCACAATTAAAGGACATTTTTTATGATAGAAGGTAGAATGGCATGGTGGCCTAATGGTGAAGACAGTTGCCTCACATTCATAAGGTTGAGAGTTCGGCCCTAGGCAGTGGTATATGTTTCTCTCCTAAGGCACAAAGAAAGAAAAAAGTGCTGTGAACTCCTGTGTGGGTGTCAGGCAGGGCATCTGGCCAGTAAATGCTCAATTCCATCCAGTCCCCCCTGACTCTACCTTAGATTAAGCGATTACAGGGTCATAAAAAGAGAGTTTATGTTAGAAGGTGCTATGATAGTATAGAAAGGGCAGTCTTGGAGCCTCTTTAGTAGAGCAGAATGTTGAGTCAAACTATAATTCAGTCACTCCATATGGTTGTCAGATTCTATATTCCTTCAGTAAAGGTTGTGTTATAATTCACTAGTTTTGCAATTTTAGAGAGTCATTTTTAGAGAGTCTATATAACCACTGGCCCCTTCCTTAAATGGGTATTTTCTCCCATTTCCTGAAACTCCTAAAAATGATGTTTTAAAATGTAAATAAACTGATTTTTCAAAAATAAAATCAAACTTACCTTTCTCTGTTATGCAAACTTAAAAAGAAAATTAACTATTTGTGTGCAACTTTTAGTATTGTATATTCTTTCTGGTAGAAGAGTGTGTTTGATTTTTTTTGAAGACAGATTTATTTAGAGTTTATTTGCTGCTACTTTTGCATCCAAAGTGAGAAGAAGGCTCAAATTAAGTGCCAATTGGACCTGGCTTTAGAATTCACTCATATCCATACTTGAGATTCGTTCCAGTTGGAAAAGGTGAACTACAGGTGTTGTTTTTTTCCTGTTCTGTTTAGTTCAGTCCTCAAAAAAATGAAAGTGAGGAGCAAGGAGGGGAAAAATTAGGAGTGTAAATTTGCCCAACAGCCTGTTTTCTTGTGCATTTTATCCTTGGTGCATTGCAAATCTGTGCTATTTTCATTTTTTGTTCTAGACTAACTCACGTTTCCATATATGTGGTGGTTCCCTGATCAATGAGAATTGGGTTGTTACAGCTGCTCACTGCAATGTGAAGTAAGTACATCCTTTCCATGTTCTTGTTATATTGATCCCCGTCCTAGAGGCACCGTCTTACCAGTTTCTTCCTTATTTGGAATCATCAGAGGCTGAGAATTAAAAATCCCCAAGTTTAAAAGTTGCTAAGGTTGGACAACTTTTGTCTGCTCTAAGACTGTATCCCTCCCATAAAGATGAAAGAGAATTCTAGCCTTTGACCTGTCCATCAAAAGGTCTTATCTGATTTAACCACCGCTTTGCCCATCTGCATCTCCAAACTATTCTATCCCTTTCTGAACTACTGAATCACCAAAACGATCTGAGATTCAAGAATTTGAATCTCAATTAGAGGCTATCTATTTACGAGAGCCTATTTATGACCTATGACCTATTACTTTGTTGTTTTACGTGTGAATACTGAGACCTTCTGCACTGGAAGCAAATTCCTTCTATGTCTGATCACATTTGGCCAATAAAGAATTCTATTCTATTCTATTCATTTTATTTATTTATTTTATTTTGTCAAGCGATTACTAGATAACATGGTTACTATAAACATGGTTATGAATACATGAAATGGATATGAATAAGAAAAAAGAAACAATAGGACAGGGACGGTAGGCACGATTGGTGCGCTTATGCACGCCCCCTACAGACCTCTTAGAAAAGGGGTGAGGTCAATAGTAGACAGTCTAAGGTTAAAGTGTTTGGGGGTTGGGGAAGAAACCACAGAGTCAGGTAGAGTATTCCAAACACTGACCACTCTGTTGCTGAATTCGTATTTCCTGCAATCAAGTTTGGTGCGGTTTACCTTGAGTTTGTATCTATCGTGTGCTCTTGTATTGTTGTGGTTGAAGCTGAAGTATTCATTGACAGGTAGGACATTGCAATATATAATTTTATGGACTATACTTAGATTGGACCAAAGGTGGCATAATTCTAGGTTTTCTAGGTCTAGAGTTTCAAGTCTGGTGGCATAAGATATTCTGCTATGAGTAGAGGAGTGGAGAACTCTTCTTGTGAAATATTTCTGGACTTTCTCAACTGTGTTAATATCAGATACGTAATGCGGGTTCCAGACTGATGAGCTGTATTCAAGTATTGGTCTAGCAAATCTTTTGTATGCTCTAGTTATTCTGTTGTGTTCTGTTCTGTTCTAATTCCATTCCTATTCCATTCCATTCCCATTTCCATTCCATTTTTTCCTATTTCATTCCATTCCATTCTATTCTCATTTTACATTCCATTGCATTCATTTCTATTTCTGTTCTATTTCTACGCTCCTCTACTCTATTTCTGTTCTATTTTGTGTCCTACCCTACCCTATTTTTTCCATCCCCAGCACCAAGGGATTGATTTACAAGTATCTCAATGTTCAGTTTAGCTGCATGTATGCATCAGAGACAAAAAGGTCACAATAGCATGTTAGACATGAGTTGTGTTTTTATTTCTCCAGACCGGGAGTACATTTTGCTTTCTTTGGACTGCATAACAGACTTGATAATGCTGCGCCAGTCCAATGGCGATCCATAATCAAGGTGAGTGGCTCATTTAGGACTATGTCCAAATGACCAGAGAGTGCATCATGCAAGAAAAGCACATTTAGGCATCAAGGATAGAAATAAGATCACGTGATCCTCATCTTTACTTTTTTTTTTTTTTTTTTGGTCCCAACCTCCCAATCAGCGTGTAATCCTATGTGGTTTGTAATGGAAACCATTTAAAATGATTTATTGATGCTCATCCCACAACAGACAGTTGTGGATGTCCTGACAAACAGTTATGCTAATCCATGGTTTGTTGGCCTAATTGGTTCACTATACATTAAGTTATAAAAGCTGGTTGGCAAATTATGGTGGTTGGCTTTGCTAAGTCAAAGTAAGCATTGATGTAACATGGTCCAGGATAATGGCTATTGACTTTCCTTCCTTACCTTCATTATGACATAACTTATTTCAGTCTAGTATTGTCTCTTTCAATATCTGCAGACCCATATTTATTTTAATCGTGTATTTCCTTCCTATTACAACACAGAATATAGAATAACAGGGTTGGGACTTTGGAGGTCTTCTAGTCTACCCCTCCCCCCACTCAAGCAGGACAGCCTATACCATTTTGGACCAATGGCTGTCTCTATTCTTAAGAATTCCAGTGATGAAGCGCACACAATTTCTGGAGGCATGTCAGTCCACTGATTCATTGTTCTCAGGGAAGGATTTAATTCTAAGTTGGATCTCTCTTTGATAAACTTCCATACTTCTCGCCCTGCCTTCTGAGGCCAGGCGAGTACGTCAACCCCTTGTTCCCTGTGACTGGTCCTCAAGTTACCAGAAGAATGCTATCATGCCACACCTTGTCCTTCTGTCAGTCAGAGTAGACATACCTAGTTCCTGCTCATCGTCTGTTTTAGCCTCCAAACCATTGTCTTTGTTGCTCTTCTCTGGACTCTTTCTAGAGTTTCAGCATCTTAAACATTTGTTCCAGCTATCGTTGTATTAAGATAGCAGCTACACTAAATTTTCTCCAG